ACATCTCCACTCCACTCTCTAATCTCAACTATTTTCAACCTGCCTACACAACTGCCCATTACCTTTCATTTCCTCCTCACATCATCTCCTCCATGTCACCCTCACCTACGACACCAGACTCGTCCTTTCCCCTTTGAGTGTCTGCTCGATGGCCTGGCTTGGAGAGTGATGCCACGAATGGTTTTCTCAGTGTATGTCCAATCCAATCCATCTCCACTTTCTACTTGTGTATATTTGTTTGACGATGTGTTCTTGGTTGCATCGTCACTAGCCAGCCAGCCAGCCAGCCAGCCAGCCAGCCAGCCAGCCAGCCAGCCAGCCAGCCAGCCAGCCAGCCAGCCAGCCAGCCAGCCAGCCAGCCAGCCAGCCAGCCAGCCAGCCAGCCAGCCAGCCAGCCAGCCAGCCAGCCAGCCAGCCACAGTTACTTCTTGCCTATTCTTTCTCACCTTCTCATCTCAGCTTCAGTGACGAGTCAGCGTAGAGGGCAGTTGTTGATGAATATGTGTAGTTTGTCGGAAATGCTTTTCGTAGCGCGCCAAGTCTCCCAACCATATAGAAGCACTGACTTCACTGACTTGGTGATGAAAATTCGGATGTTGTTCACGCTTTATGCAGTTGATCTCCATGCTGATTTCAGGCTAATGTTAGAAGGCCTGTCTTGCTTTTCCATCGTGGCTTTGACGTCCCTATCTGTGTCTTCGCCGCCTGTAGATGAAACGATGCTGCCTAGTTAGATATATATATATTAGTGTGTTTCCGTTTATATGGCAACATCTTTAACTAATTCAGTGGGGAAAAACAGTTGTCATCGATTCCCCTCAAATATAAATGAATGGTTTTTTAAACAAAGATTAACTTGAAAGTGAATTTTCTGTCTTCTCTAGCCTTGGTGATGATTAGAAAATACAGTTCAGTCAAATGTTAGATAACTGGAGACATCAAATACTAAGCATCATCTAACATTCGTCTGAGGTTTACGAGGATTTTACTTTTGAGGTAGTAATTATTACAGACTGATATCACTTGGGGAGAGCCACTGAACAACAAAGATCACTGGTGGGAACGCCTCAGCTGTAGATACCCATTCAGCTACTGAGTCAGATTTCAATGGCCCACAGTTTCCTACTTTTGTCTGTTCAAGATACTTCTCATTTATGATGTGCTACAAGGCGGATACCCTGAAGTTCAAATGACAAACCGTGACCTGTAACGTCAAGTAGTCTAAACTGAAGAGGATGCCGACTGAAGACCATGGGTGATATTCGTGCTATATCGCGAAATGACAAAAGTTGTAAACTGTGGACCAGTGATCAGTGGTCAATGCATTCACTATGAAACATGAAGGTTCTAAGCTCAACGCCGGGTGGGAATGTAGGTGCTGACGAGTCTTTGGCAAGGACAGACCAACTATCCAGTGCTACCACCTAACTTAAAGTTTGAAATAAATAAATCTAGAATATTTCCGGTGGAGAGAACCAAACGTTATGCATAAGGTTATGTTTCTGGTCAGAGTAAATATGTTCTGTACAACAGTGCAAATACCTTAACATCAAGGTATCAATCGAATTCACCTTCAACCAGTTAGCAGATAAAGTGTCTGAGTTACACTTTCCTGGCAGACTGATCTTTATATTTAAGAAGAAAACATGAGGAGGCTTCAGGTGTTTGACCACCGCTGCTTTCGTAGTGTCACCATGTGAGTAACACAGAAGTCAGAAGTAGAGTGAGATAGTTGACTTGGTTGAGAACCTTCATCGACTTAGATGAGACGCACGCCTAACTACTATCTGCCTCGTAGCACAATGTAGATCGAAGTAGGTTCAGGCTTGAAAAAGAATCAGTGTGGTCAGACAAAAATGTGACCTCCATGCATGAAGTCCTTGACTGTCGGTTTGAGCTATGTATGGCGATGCACACTAGCCACTTGGGGTTCATTGGACAAGAGAAACTAATAGTTGGAGACTTTAGGTGATATGGCTCAGAATCAATGTCAATTGAGCAGATGTATCCCCACACACACGAACAGTTATACTTAATCTCATCATCTTTTTTTTCTTCCTACCTTCTACTTTCTACTTTCTTTCACCGATATTTTTCCTCCCTCATCTTCCATTTTACTGCCTTGTTACTCGATGTGCTGACATGAGGTGTGGCAGTAATGCAGTCAGTAATGCCTGGTTCAATGTTGATCTTCATGATGATATTATTTAAGAATGTTGGTCGAAATAGATAGCAGAGTATAAACGAGTCACCACTGGATCATCAAAATGGCAGCCTACAGGCTGAGATATACAACTTAACTGATAAACAAGTTTATTATTGAAACTTGGTTATAAAAGTAGATACTTGTAGGTGAGTCGGTTGAACATCAAGCTGTCAATTCAACAACAGAGACTTGGTCAAATCTTTGATACCTCTAAGCGATGGTTATACCTAACTTTCACAAGAATTAGTCCACCGGTTCCTTATCTCGACAGACTTTCTATTAGTTATATTAGAGAGAAAGGGAGAAAAGCTCTCAGGAACCTTCAAACTGATAGCAATACAGTAATTGCCAAATCAGATAAAGGCAACTCAGCAGTTGTAATGAAGAAATCTGACTGCATCCCTAAAGTGAATGAGCACATAGAAACAGGACCATATGTGGAAATTAAGAAATTAGTGGATACTATTATGAATAAGGTTAAGAAATCGACAGAGGATCTGATACGATGGATGAAGTCGTTTCTACGTGAGTCAAAAATGGTTTGATCTAATACCGAAAACTAATAATCCCATTAGAATGTACGGTACTATTAAGATTCATAAGCCAGGTTATCCAATCAGGCTTACGGTAGACCTTAGAAACACTCCGACTTACGAGTTGTCTAAATATTTAGCAATGGTGTTAGGTCCAATAAGAAATCACTCAAAGTCTCGACTTACCAACTCTTATGACTTAAAGCATAGATTAGACGACATACACTTAGATGACAGTGAAAAAGTGATTAGTTTTGATATAACTAGCCTTTACACAAACAAACCGATCGACACGTGGCTCTAGAGACAGTTAAAAATGGGGTTAAGGATGACAATGAGCTTACACGTAGAACTAAGGTACCGATCGACGAAATCATACTAGGAGTAAGATTATGCCTAACATCTACAGTTTTTAAATTTTAAAATAAAATATATGAACAAACTGAAAGTGTTGCCATGGAATCATCAATATTTCCTATCATGGCAGACATATTTATAGACAGTTGTGAACAGATGACCCCTCAAACAGTTAGTTCTGCTCCAAGCATATAGTTTCGATATGTAGATGATACATCTACAGTACTGAAATCGAAACACATCAATAGGTTCTTTGCATATATAAATTTAGTAGCAAACGAAATCCAAGTTACCTATGGCTTGGAAAGTGAAGAAGGTGAGCTGACAATGTTCGATTGCAAGGTTAAACGAATACAAAACGGGGGTCTAGAGACTACTGTCTATAGGAAACCTACCCATTCGAATCGTTACTTAGACTTCAAATCCTCTCACCATATTTCAGTTAAAGTAGGCTTAGTTAAATGCCTAAGTGATAAGGTGAAAAACCTTTCTGGTAGACCAGAAAATCTACGACAAGAAGTTAGATACATCAAGAATACCATGCGTCTCAATAATTACCCACCAAAAGTTACAAATAAACTCATATGAGATTGAAAGAAAAATATTACCATTTGTAGTAGCAGTAGTAGTAATACTGGTGTTATTAATAATAATCGTATTACTAATGGTAATAATGTTGACAGAATTGAGAAAGAATCCAAATCCTCTACTATGTTTTTACACAAGGAAGTTACTTCAGAAGCGTTGTGAAGAATTCTGAATAAGGCTGGCTGGGATTAAAGTGGTTAGCTCTTAGACCAACAAACTCGCTTAGAAACAAGCTTTGTAGGTTAATAGATCCTAACAATGCAATTCAGTAAATTAATGTGGTTTGCTAAATCCCTTGCAATGATTGCGAGGTCAAGTACATGAGTCAAAGCAGTCGACTTGGATCGATTAGAATAACAAAGCACAAAAACTTAGTTAAATCAAGATTAGTAGATCCTACTAATAAGATAAGAAATTTAGATATAAGCTTGCCTATAGCTCTGCACGCAATTACGCACGATCACGCAGTAAGGTGGGATACAGCGACACCGTTAAAAACTTAGTTGGGTGGAGGGAGAGATTGATAACCGAATCTTTGTTTATCGAATCAACACCAAATACATGCAGTAATAGAAATGATTCTGCACCTGTCCCAGATATATGGAAGATTATTCTACTACCCTTGTCATCACACAGAAGGAGACAGAATTAGGAATATATTAACTTTGTATCGAAATTGTGGAGTTAGTTACCTGATATGAATATGGACAATGAATTATGTCGGAAACGTCGTTATCCAGTAAACGATACTGTTTCACTGTGTGATATTTCTAAAAAGCAGACTATAATGGAGAATGATATTATACTATGTCGGAAGGCAAATGACACAGAAATGTTGTATAAATCTTATTATCTGTATGTTGTGCTAACAGTAACGAAGTTCCACCCCCTTTCAGGGACCTGGACCTAAAAGTCAGGGCTTTAAATGTTGTATGAATCATAACTATCAATCCCATTGGGAACACCAACACATCAGGATGCAATTATATCTGTACAACAACTCCTAAATTAGGTTAAACAAAAATTCTGAATGCCACAACCCGTTACTATGTGAAAAACGTTGATCTACTACCATAGAGTGAACACTTTGATCCCAAACTTTGAACATCATGGACTATATGAGTTTATGAATTAAATGGTTATGTGTTCAATTCCCAGAGGGAACAACATTACTTAATGGGGTGAAGTTACATCTGGTTGATAATTCCCAAATAGGATGAAAAGTGATTCCTTGATTCTACTACTAGGCACCATTCATGATGATTATTATTAAAATGTGATAATATTTCAATTTTTGTTTATCTATCTATTTGTAGACTCTTCAAACAACAGTGTCAACAACCACTTTCTCTCCAGGTATAACTCAGTCAACCGGTTTACAACATTTAGACATTCTTTCACGTTATTCACGATTTTATATCATAACTGAACATTTTTCACCAATAATCAATAATTTAGATCGATATATCAGTCCATTATGGATACCTATAGGTTTAATTGGTTGTATTCTATGCATAATCATCTATGCTAATCCACAATGGCGAAAATCATTGAGACAAGATCCAAAAATACTGATGAATCCGTATGGTTATGGATCCCTTTCAATTTATTTGTTATTTCTATCAATTCTACACTTATTTCAATGTCTATTAGTTGTTATCATGGATCTAGATACACCATGGGATACAGGTTTATTAGCATGTAATGGATTAATTTGCCCATTATTTCATTGCCTATGGACTGGAAATCGATTAGCTATTGTAATGATTACAATAACACTAGGAATTGAAGCACTTGTTCTGTTACAAAAAGAAACAAACTTTCCTTCAAACATTTTACTTCGTTGGATAATAGCTGATGGGAATAGTCGAAAGTCAATTCGTATAGCTGTCGGTGTTACTTTATTGGCTTATATCTACGGTTTAATTGAAACAGCCTATTGGCGTGTTCAATACTACAATTCTGAGTATGAAAAACAATCATATCCTGGTTTCCTTGGATCACCATCATCAATGTCTTCGGTACCTGAACCCCTGGCAAGATGTGAAGTAGCCGGAGGCTTTCAATATTGGTTTGCCACTAAACCAGTCAACAGATATGATCATCTAGTTGAAATCGATGTTCGCAGACGTGCTGCTGAACTTGCTGCCAGTTATTTCGATTATCAGTGGATAACAGGGATCACTGTTGACTGTGCATTGGCACTAGGCAATGTATGCATTGGTTTGGCCATTGTGCGCGCCTACTTTATGGAGGACTTAATTATACGACCAAGATATGCTGAAAGTCGGGCTATTGCATCAAGGATAAATCATCTTGAAGTATTGCATATTGCTACAATTAGCATTATTCAAGGACTTTTTCGTCTACCGAGTGCTCTATTCACTATGCTTGATCCATTAACGAGGCCAGGTGAGATGACTTTAACTGACGCTGAGGTATGTTGATAAAGTTTATCCGAGATTCTTCTTAAAAATTGGTTTAATCCTTCTGTCATTTAAAAATTAGTTTTTTTTACCAAATTGTATTTAACTGAGAGTCAAGTAAATAACACTAGTGTGGCTTGTGACTTAGAATTGTTGATTTATCGAATGAAACGCGTGTTTCGTCTTGCTGGGGACTCGTTGGCTGAATGTACCTGTATCCTAACAAGTGAGGTCAGTCAACAAATGATAAAAATCGACTACTGTTGACATACAACCTTCTCTTGACAATCTTTCGTCATTTTCCTCAGCTACATGGTGGTAATATCTGATTTTGTTTTAAAGAAGAATCACAGAAACACCTTCATCAGTTGACTTTATGCTGACTTGTTGATTGTTCGTTGTGTTAAGCTCTAAAGTGAAGATTACCAGATCACTGCATTAGAGAATTCACTTCCATATCCTTGTGTAGTAGGTAGGTGATTGTCGCTTTGCGATCTCGTCCAACACTTTTTATACTGAAGACTAACTTTACTAGTTAAAGTATTCAAACGTCCGTGAGAAGATTATCATGAACAAAAAAGTTTGAAGAATCTTCAACAACTTAGATTTCACAGTAACGAAGCAATTCTATCTCCCCCCTACCCTAAAAGAATATCATATTTTTCATCGACCATTTCAGAGTATGAAGAAAATGGGAAATGTAATGTTCATCGATATAAAACATGAAAATCCTGTCTGATTTGCTTTCATTTCGGAAAGTATGACGTGAGGCAAAAGAAAGAAATAAGTGGTGTTGGCAAGTTCACACCAGTGGCCTGCTTTAACCTTGAGTAAACAAATCTATCCATCGAATATTTCTCATCAAATTCTTAACTTACAATTTGTGTCAGTCATTTAAATATATCCCTTGAATGTATCATAAACTCTGACACATTTTTAAACTGTTTCCAACTCTCCATTTATCTTCAATCAATAAAAAAGGAGGGAAAAAATGTCACATCATGTAGAAATGAACTTCTGGGTTCGAAAAACTACATCATATTTCTTTCTATCTATCAGATAACTAGCTTGAGTTACAGATTTTTCTACTGTCTAAATGAACCACCATCAATACCAAAATGACGCTTACATTTCTGTTGATTCGACATTATGCACTGGATGCCTATCCAGACTCAACTGGCTATTTCATATTATTCCCTTAAAAACTGTTATCATTAACATTATTACATGCTGAGAATTCCATAGCGTCACACTTATTGCTTAGAATAAAGTGACTATTATTATAATTAAGTTTAGAGATTTGTGGGGATTTATTAATTTCAGACTGATATTCATCACTGAATAACATCGAGTGGAGAAGCATTAGAAAATTGAGAGCACTGGAAAGCTGCTTCGTTCCTATGTGTATGACTCCTCAGCATTGTAAACCTATGAAATCACTTCAGTAACTCGAGAACATAGGATCTTCAGGTGATGTACACATTTTTACTTCTGTCAATTAGTGAAATAGCATGGTTTCTGTCTAGTACCATTTTTAATTATCTTTTCTCACATACAATTTGATGCACTTAATCAGTCACCACTTCTTGGTAGAACTTTGGGAATCTTGATTGAAATCACTAACGATCACTAGATTCGTTTGATTTCATGATTTTCACCAAAGACTCACATTAGTTAAAAGCAGAGAAACGCTTGACAGATGGCTCATCTCAGCTTGAGATGCAGTTTATTAAAAACATCTAAAAGCGTTTATCTTACAGGCATATTATTTTGTTTCCATGTCAACATGTCTTGATATAACCTCAAGTTTATTAATATCCAGACATTTGTACAGTTAATGTGCTGGAGTTCATTTCAATATTTGTTCACTGAGTCACTGAGTTAGAACAGATCTCCTTTTTTACTAGAATTCAATTTATTGAGCCTTTTGCTACTCGATGGGATCAAAATAGTGTTTCAGTTTAAGTCACCTAATGGTCAAAAATCTTTCTGATGCATCGAGAAATGCTGGTAAACAACATGAACAATGTGTTTAACAAGAGATTTCGGAACAATGTTGACCATGAATAGTTGAAAATGAGAGAATATGGTCCAAAGAGTCCTGAAAACTGAAGCTATCTACTTACTATGAAGAAATGTTAATTAAATAATAATAATCGCTCTATTCGAAACAATATGTATGACAGAAAGAATAAGCAAGAAGGAACTGTGGCTGGCTGGCTGGCTGGCTGGCTGGCTGGCTGGCTGGCTGGCTGGCTGGCTGGCTGGCTGGCTGGCTGGCTGGCTGGCTGGCTGGCTGGCTGGCTGGCTGGCTGGCTGGCTGGCTGGCTGGCTGGCTGGCTGGCTGGCTGGCTGGCTGGCTGGCTGGCTGGCTGGCTGGCTGGCTGGCTGGCTGGCTGGCTGGCTGGCTGGCTGGCTGGCTGGCTGGCTGGCTGGCTGGCTGGCTGGCTGGCTGGCTGGCTGGCTGGCTGGCTGGCTGGCTGGCTGGCTGGCTGGCTGGCTGGCTGGCAACCAACCAACCAACGATGCAAGTAGCTATCGCTCAACAAACCTGCACTGGAAGGAAGTGGAGATGGATTGGGCATACACTGAGGAGACCGTTCGGAGACATCACGCACCAGGATAGGCACTCGAGTGGAACCCAGATGGGAAACTATGAGTTTGGCGTCGGAGACGAGGATGATATTGAGGAGGAGGAGGAGGAGGTGGTGGTGGTGGTGGTGTGAGGAAGAGATGAGAGGTTGTGGTCAGTGGTGGAGTCAGGTTGACAATATTGCAGAGAAGAGAGTGTAATGGAGACGTGCTAGTGAAGCCCTATGTTCCACTAGGAACCCATGGGACAAATAATAATAATAATCTAGTTATCGGTACAGCAGCCCATTAGCCAAAAGAAACTGATCATTTCGGTCCAGTCAATCACGGTATAATATAAAAACAATTATACTTATGCATCATTATGTCTAATAAGTTGTTTACTTTGCTAATGCATCATGAATCAAGTCAACGTTTTCTCCTTTTTCTCATTTTTATTTTCTAAGATTTATGGAGTAAAATATCAGTGGCTTTTTTATTTTATTATTCCACAATATTATAGACAGTGGTTTCGTGTAACTTTGCAGCTAATACCCAAGTGTATACATCATTCGACCTGTCATGAAGGTATACATGAAGCACAATCTGACTAGGTCAAACAAAAAACAGAAAGTAACAAAAATAATTCCAGCCTTCCATGAGGTGCATGAAATATGCACATAAACTGATATCAGTTTTCTAACTTAGAACTAAATACACCACAACGGCAAGTTTCCAGTTTTGTTGAGCCTTCTGAAGACTACATCAAATGATGATAAAAGATATAATTAGTTAATTTCCTGTCAACTTGGGGATCGAACTCAGGAATAAATATTTCACAGCAAACGTTTCGAGTTTTCCTAAAGCTAATTGGAAGATATTGAAATTAGTCCCTGTCAACGTAATACTTCATTGGTTGAGAAAAAGGACTATTCAACCAGTAGATTTATTATAGAGATCCATAAATCCTAAAGTAGAATTTATCATGAACTGAAATTAGTTAGGGAGGTATTGAAAATTTGGCACGTTGTGTTCAACACTCAACGTTTAGGCAGTGCTGCTCTGGGTCTTAAATCCACCCCTTCTCAAACATTATTATTTGACCCTTGGCTACCTAGTGAAACACAAAGCTTCACTAGTAGCTCACCATCTCATTATCTTCTCCCCAGTCTTATTAATCTACCTTCAACACCACTAGGAAGCTTTCACCTCTTCTTACCCACATTATCTCCTCCATGTCAACCTCCCATACCCTACTTGTCCTTTCTCATGTGACCTACACTCGACAACCTGAACTGACGCTTGATTTACTCAAACCATATTCTCACTGTATATCCAATCCAATCCAATCCAATCCAATCCAATCCAGTTCAGTCTAATCTAATCCATCTCCAATTTGTTGGTCGACAGCTCCTGCGTCGGTTCACTGCCAGACCACAGTTCCTTGTTGCTCATTCTCATTATTCTGGCCATCTGATCGCATATTCAGTAACGAGTGAGTGTAGGTGGCAACTGTTGATACATGTCTGTGGTTTGTTGGATATGCTTTTCGTAAGGCACCAAGTCTCTCAACCATCACATAGAATCACTGACTTACTTGACTGACTCAGTGTTGAAAATCCGGATCTTGTTCCACATGCTGAGTGTAGTGTAGTAGATGTGCACACTGATCTGCACAGATTAATGAAGGCGTGTCTGTTGTCTTTCGGATCCTGACTGTCTTTGACATCCTCATTTGTGTGTATGTGCCGCTTGTAATTGAGACGATGCTGTGTAGGTAGTTAGGTAGGTGGATGTGGGGTGGGGTGGTGTGGTGTGGTGGGTAGGTTGGTGAAAGAGACAACTTCCTTTCGATTTCTGCCATTGATGGTAATTGGTAGTTGTTGTGGTTGTTGTTGATGGTGGTAGGATATCCTCATCACCTGTGTCTTCTATACGTTCATCTGAAAGAAGTCCCGTCTTCGCTACCTCTTCTGCTTCTCGCACATAAACATATGATTCTTTGGTTTTAAATCATCTCATAATTTAAAATTTTTCTAAACTATATTTTCTAATTAAAACTCACTAAATGGTAAATTTACTTTAATAGGTTTCAAAAGATCCCACCTGGCAAAGGTTTTTTCTTATGTTATCCGCCAAAGTGGTTGGAATTGAACTAGGTAATCTTCCAGCTGCTCTATTAATGCCTATTTGTATTGGATTATGTCAAGAGTTTCGACAAAACTTATACGGATTAATTCAGTTTAAAACACCTGCCAAGTTGAGAACCACTTTAACTTCGTTAAATCCTAGACATGGTATGTCTAGGATTATTACTCCACCGTTGAATAGATCTGACAACTTTAAGAAGGATGCCTATATGAAAGGATCAAAAAGATATTCTCCGAATGATATTTCTTATGAGTCAAAATTTCATCAGAGTGAAATGCCTCATCATTTGCGTCCATCGGATTTTCACGATAGACGTACAGTAGATACTTTGGAAGAATTATCATCAGAACGATATGTACCGAATAATCAACAATGTGATAAACACAACTTTGAAGTTCATAGTGAAACAGATGGAGAGACAACTTATGATAATACCAAATCATTTCATCATTGTCCTAATCATCACAATCATCTTAATGATATGAAGTCAACGGATCAATGTCAAACAATTTTCACTACAGTTAAACAAAATTCACCGTATACTAAACCTAAAAGGTATGAAAAATTAAATGATATACATCATCAACAACGATATCATTCAAGATATTTGTGTAAATCAGATTGGGACCTACATAATTCAATACCTAATTCATTATTTTGTTCTAATAATCAATTAACTAATCAGTTATACTGTAAATCAATCGATTTTGAAGAAATAAAACAAGTGGAACAACCAAGAACTGCCATCTTGGAACATCGATCCTATGTATGAATTAGATGAAATTAAACAATAAAGGACAATAAATAAACAGTTATCCTTGATTTATGTATTAATATACTCTTTGTTAAAATGAAATAATTCCTTTTTTGGTAGCTTCCATAATGAATGATTGATAAACGGATTCCGTTATAATCACCCATCGTTAATCGGTTTCCAAACTATCTAGTTATAGTGTCAAGAAATACTATTCATATTGGAAATCAGTCTATGACAGTGTTATGTATGATTGAAGAAAACGGACAATGATCACCATTCATGAACATTAGGTATTCAGACTGAGTTATTCTCGTAGCCAACATCAATGTAATCCATTCAAGCATGAGGAAATACCAATTGAATATCATTCAGTCATTCACAATCAATGTAGATGGAGGTTGAACTTTTCACATTATTCAAGAATAAATGTACTGTCACATTGTTCATAGTTTGATATTTCGTTCAATTCATCTCATTATGAGTAACTTTCAAAGCTATTCTAGTGCCTTGTTGTGAAATAACCAGTCAGATTGTGGTATTTCGACTGGGAAGGTAGTTTCACATAAAATGAACAAATATGATTGGTTATCTCACCAAGTGTTAGAATGGCCTTCAAAGGCATTTTTCATCACTAAGTTTAGTAAAACATCAGCAATGACGAAGTTAGGCATGTTCAAATGTACCATGAGTGTCAATAAACAAGAAGTGACGCTGAGTGCCACAATGACATTATTAAGTAGACTTCAATGTTTTACGAAAATCTGATTTTCCAATACTAAAGTGGTCAGTAATCAGGGCTAAATAACATGAAAGTACTACAAGAGGTCGGTGGTAATATCGCTGACTGCGACATTGGGTGACGCGGGTTTGAATCTCGCAGGGGACATCAGTTTCTTGGAGGTTGCACATAGAACTGCCAATAAGCCTGAAATCTAGGTTCTGCTCCTCACAAGTACATACCGACCACCTGAGGAGTCTTATACTAGGACGAAACAGCCATTTAGTGAACAGCTGATTCCGCTGTTTGAAGGATACATCCATAAGTACATTAGTTGCAATGAGTTACTTTTTATAATCGTAAACTTTCTCTTCAAAGTTGATCTAATCGTACACAACTGTCAACAACTTTATCTCAAGAGAAACAAGACAACCTTAAGTTAATCTAATGATGACATCCTTAACTTTTAAGGCGATTCCTGTAGTTGATTGTAAAGATATTTCCTTCAAGCTGTGTTTGACATACTGTGTTTGATAAGTGAGAAGAAGTCGAGAAGAAGACACAGAGAAATGTGTTACTTCTGCTTATCGATATTCATCAGTAAAACATGTTGACAATCTTGAAGAATCTTGTATTTTACTTTGGTTTAAAACGTCAATCCTCTTAGTTGTGAACACAGATATTGTTATGAATCTCTCCATCCACCATGCTATCTAAGTTTCAAGGACTGTCACTCTGTCCCGTCCTATTGCGTAATTGTGTGTAACGGCATGTGTAGCTATAGCGGAGCTTTTATCTGAACTTCTTATCTTATTAGGATCTACTAGTCTCGGTTTAGCTATGTTCTGTTATTCTGATCTGCTTGTGCATTTCACCATACAATCATTGCAGAGGATTTGGTATTTTCCTTCAAAACATCAATAGGATGTATTAACCTACAAAGCTTATTTCTAAGCCAGTTTGTTGGTTTAAATGCTAGCCAATTTAATCCCAGCCAGCTTTATTCAGAATTCTTCACAACGTTTCTGAAGTAACTTCTTTGTGTGGCAACAAAGTAGAGGCTTTGCATTCTTTGTCAACCCCATCACCATTGTTACTTTTATTATTATTATTATTATTATTATTATCAATAATTGCTGCGAGGGTTCAGAGAGAGTTCAAAGCCTCAGGTGTGTTGCTATACAAGAAAATCACCTCAGAGACATTACGTAGGAATCTCAATAAGGCTGGGATTAGAATGGTGTTTAAGCCAACAAACTGACTTCTAAAAAGACTTTACAGTTTAGGAGATCCTACTGATGCAATTAGGCAAAATAATTTGGTTTACCAAGTCCCTTACAATGAACTGTGAGGTCAAAGTAGTCGACCAAAGTCGATTAGAATAAAAGAGTATAAAAAACAGCTAAATCATAATTAGTAGATTCTAAAAAGATAAGAAGTCAAATGAAAAGCTCGGCTATAGCTCAGCTGGGTGGAATTCGACCTAATAATCTTCGTCTTTGTATTCAGCAAGACTTTGTATGTCTCTTATCTCTTCCTTGGCTAGGGAATACTTAATTACCAACTATATTATCATTTGAACTATCTGAGATAGCAGCCATGGTTTGGCAGCCTAGTATTAATACTGGGTAATGAGTGAAAGTGAAATCAAAATTTGGACTGTGACAGGGTTCTAACCAGCGACCAACTGGCCGGAAACGACTCTATCATCGACATTTTTTCTGCCTCTTTCTCATTTTTCACCCTTTTCATATACTAACTAATTCTATGTTGAGGCAGCGAAGATAGGACTTCAAGGGAACGTAGAAAAGACAGAGGTGATGAAGATACCCAACCAACACCACCAACAACGACAACGAGCTCCAATCACTATCAACGGCAGAAACTTAAAGGAAGTAGCCTCCCTCACCTATCTAGGCAGCACTGTCTCAACTACAGGCGGCACAGGCACAGACGAGGATGTCAAAGCCAGCCAGGATCGGAAAGACAGCAAGACAGGCGTTCATTAACCTGGAACCAGTACTCAGATCTTCTGCACTGCACTCAGAATGAAGCGTGAACAACATCCGAATTTTCATCACCAAGTCAGTGAAGTCAGTGCTTCTATATGAGTGGAAGACTTGACGCGTTACGAAAAGCATTTCCAACAAACTACACACATTCGTCAGCAACTGCCTATGCTGGCTCATTACTGAAGCTCATATGGCTAGAAAGTATAACGAAGAAGGAACTCTGGCTGACGGCGTACCAACCAAGAACCTGTTGCTCAACAAATATGCACTGGAAGGAATTGGAGATGGATTGGGCGTGCACTAAGAAGGCCGATTGGGGACATCACGCGCCATTCCAGTCCCTCGAGTGGAACCCAGATAGGAAACAGCGAGTGGGCGTCCGAGGGTGACATGGAGAGATCGTGTGAGGAAGAAATGAGGGCTTCTGGGCAGTGGTGGAGCCATGTTGAAAAGATGGCAGAGAACAGAGTGGAATGGAGATGTACTACTAAATCCCTATGTTCCACTAGGAATCCAAAGGACAAATAATAATAAATAATTCTACGTTGATTTATTGGATAGAGTTGATGAATGTCTATTGGCATAAAGGCTCCTATACGGATGCCTCAATATTGCCTGAAAGTTATTTAAAGTAATTTGTGTGGTTGTGGTTAGTAGAAGAATTCAGGACGCGCGTTTCACCCTTTTTGGGACTCACCAGACAAGGAAATTATCATAACTGACATTCAGTAAATATCGAGGCATTCGCATACGAGCCCATATGCCAATGGATGTCGAAAAATTCCACGCAGTAAAACAATGAAGAATAACAAGTATGTCAACAAACAGTAATAAATACTCCCGTTGTACAAAAAATGGCTATCGTCCGTTCACGGCAAAGTGGATAACCCCCCCCCCTGAAGTTTCAGGTGATGGGTATCAGGTTTCAGTCTCAGTGCGAACAACATCACTCCACACTAGGGTGCAGGAACATCCAGCTGACGAGTCCTAAGTAGGCCGAAACTGGCGTTCTGGATTCTTCTGCTAGCCAAAACCAAACAAATTGCCTCACTAGGTTTGTTAAGACTTTGTTTTTGCACTTAACTCGTCCTTTAGTATTAAGTAACTTTTGTTTGTCGAAGCAACCTCATGACCCACTTCTATTGTCATGGTGTCTACATTTTCATACAGCTTTCTTACTTCGCATCTTCATTATCATCTATATGACAAGTGCTTAAGTCAACGTTATCTTTTTAAAGTTGGTATTCATCAATTGGAGGAATACTGGAGACCTGAGAGCACTGGACAACAAGCTGTTTCGTTCCAATACGGGACTCTTCGGCGGTGCACCCACAAATCTGCCCCGCAAGGGATCGAACCCAAAACCTTCAGATTCCGTGGTCAGCGCGTTACCATTGAGCCATTTAGTCGGAATCCACTGATCTATATTTCCTACTTCCTCAAGTCCACGATATAGCTTGACCTCCATCCAATACCGTCATTGATTAACTGTCCTCATGTTCATTTTGGTTGACTTCAATGGTCCCATCCTGCCGTTGAAACCTCAGGAATCACTACTCAAAGCTAGTTACCGATGAGCACTAATTCGATTTAATTTGGGTTCGAGCCTTGGAGGAGTCTGGGTGCGCATTACTATTATAATTATTATTATTATTATTCCTTGTTATTCCTTGGCTACCTAGTGAAACACAAAGCTTCACTAGCAGCTCACCATCTCATTATCTTCTCCCCAGTCTTATTAATCTACCTTCAACACCACTAGGAAGCTTTCACCTCTTCTTACCCACATTATCTCCTCCATGTCAACCTCCCATACCCTACTTGTCCTTTCTCATGTGACCTACACTCGACAACCTGAACTGACGCTTGATTTACTCAAACCATATTCTCACTGTATATCCAATCCAATCCAATCCAATCCAGTTCAGTCTAATCTAATCCATCTCCAATTTGTTGGTCGACAGCTCCTGCGTCGGTTCACTGCCAGACCACAGTTCCTTGTTGCTCATTCTCATTATTCTGGCCATCTGATCGCATATTCAGTAACGAGTGAGTGTAGGTGGCAACTGTTGATACATGTCTGTGGTTTGTTGGATATGCTTTTCGTAAGGCACCAAGTCTCTCAACCATCACATAGAATCACTGACTTACTTGACTGACTCAGTGTTGAAAATCCGGATCTTGTTCCACATGCTGAGTGTAGTGTAGTAGATGTGCACACTGATCTGCACAGATTAATGAAGGCGTGTCTGTTGTCTTTCGGATCCTGACTGTCTTTGACATCCTCATTTGTGTGTATGTGCCGCTTGTAATTGAGACGATGCTGTGTAGGTAGTTAGGTAGGTGGATGTGGGGTGGGGTGGTGTGGTGTGGTGGGTAGGTTGGTGAAAGAGACAACTTCCTTTCGATTTCTGCCATTG